GCCGCGCCCAGCCCAGCCGATCAAGCTGGTAAAACTGTCATTAATAATAATTCGCGAGTGGATCTGGTCCGCCCCAAGGGAGTTGAGGAGTGAAACATTTTTGTAACAGTGGTTACAGTGGAATTTGAGGAAATATTTGAGATTCTGAAATTTATAATATCTGAGCTTTTTATTTTAAACACAAGATATTAATAATTAATTGAAGTAATATAAATTTAAATTTTAATGGAAAATTAAGAAAATTAATATAATTAGCCTTAGCTCTCACATCATTTATTGGTACAAACATGACTCTCCTATCATTTATTGGTAAAAAGAACCACAGCTCTCTTATCATTTATTGGCGCAGAACTGTTACAAACGCTAGGGCTTTCAGAGATTTTAGTTTCACTTTGAGTTCAATGTCTGACTTCCAGAGATTTTAGTTTCAATTTATTAAGTTGAAACTCAAGTTCTGTCGAAAACAAGTAATTTTTCTAATCAAACTCTGACCCATGTGAAAATAACCACAGTTGACCTCTGCATTTGGTAAGGCTGTATGAATTGCTCTAATACGGGACTTTTTAAAATCTACCAAAAAGTTTTCAAGGGGCTAAGCTTGGCGAAAGTTTCTTACAGATTTTAACTTATTCTTGAACGTTCAATTGTTATATATTTTGATGATAGAATTGTCCTTATTAATTTGTCTTAGATTTTGTAAATGCCTCTGTTATATTTCCTCAAATGTTGTAAACTCATATTTAAAGATTTTTTTAATTATTTTTTTTTCCTAGACTAGAACGTTCTAAATGAGTGGAGATTATTCTGCAACGTTATTTCCTTAAAAATTTCCAACGTAATGACAAGAAGGCTTAGGTTACAATGCAAGCTTCTCTTTAAAGTGTTGCCTCTAATCAAAACCAAAAATTCCTTTCATGACCCCTCTTAAAACATCTGTGGATTTCAAACGTCTAATGACCACATCTTTTTGTTTCTTGGTGCCTAATTTTAGTTGTAGTTCGACGCTGTATCTTTTGCGTCCTTCGCGCGTTTCTAATGGTAATATTTAACAAATAAAGTTTGTTCGTAATCCAACTTTAAAATACCCACTTCTTTTAAACATTAATTGACTAGGCCATCTTTCCCAGAGTCCTCAATAGTTAACATTTAAAAGATAACATATTTCATTTTTTCAAATGGTTCCACAAAATCCTATACATAAGAGTGGAGGAAATGACATCACAGATCGTAGTGGAGGAGGATGAGCTCCGGAAACGATGGTGAGGATTCATAGGTCATACCGTGATGAAACCCGTGTTTAATATAACACTATAAGCACTGGTATGGAACCCGTGCAAAATATAACAATACAATCATTGGTATGGAACCCGTGCAAAATATAACAATACAATCATTGGTATGGAACCCGTGCAAAATATAACAATACAATCATTGGTATGGAACCCGTGCAAAATATAACAATACAATCATTGGTATGGAGCCAATGTTAAATATAACCATACAATCACTGGTATGGAACCCGTGCAAAATATAACAATACAATCATTGGTATGGAGCCAATGTTAAATATAACCATACAATCACTGGTATGGAACCCGTGCAAAATATAACAATACAATCACTGGTATGGAACCCGTGCAAAATATAACAATACAATCATTGGTATGGAGCCAATGTTAAATATAACCATACAATCACTGGTATGGAACCCGTGCAAAATATAACAATACAATCATTGGTATGGAGCCAATGTTAAATATAACCATACAATCACTGGTATGGAACCCATGCTAACGTAACATGAGATGTACTGTGGAATGAGAGTCTAAAGGAATAAGATTACTTAGAAGACACAAAATCACCTGGCCAAGAGATGTCAGAAAGACGTCACACAGACGGGAAAGAGTGGGTGAAGCGTTAGAGAGGATAGCTGGAGACTGGGAGGATTGGAGAGAAATTGTTCATAGCCTATGTTAACCTGGGAGTTGAAAAGACACAGAAAAAGAAGAACCAAAGTTACAACTAAAGCATGAATTGTGTCTGTTTTCTTTTACAAATGACATGAAAAAAAGTCATCGTGAGTAGTCTACTAGTTAATCTTTAATCCAAATTCTTTATTTTACATCATTTAAGGGATATTCAAAAGCATTTATCCCTATAATAATAAATATGACAAGAGGTTTTTTTTTGTTTTTTTTTTTTTTTTTTTTAATCTTTTTTTTTAAATTATATTTTCTCATTTAAATAGTCTTATTTTTTTGCCTATTTTAGCTTTAAGGAGTTATTACAACAAAAAAAACAANGTGAGTAGTCTACTAGTTAATCTTTAATCCAAATTCTTTATTTTACATCATTTAAGGGATATTCAAAAGCATTTATCCCTATAATAATAAATATGACAAGAGGTTTTTTTTTTTTTTTTTTTTGGTTTTTTTAAATCTCTTTCGTTAAATGATATTTGCTCAGTGAAATAGTCTTATGTTTTTGCCTATCTGAGCTTTAAGGAGTTATCACAACAAAAAAAACAAAAAACACACCAAAAAAAAAAAAATAAATAAAAAAAAAATAATAAATAAATAAATAAATATAACATATTGAACCCTTTTTTCAATACGTATTTATTATTTTGTCACTATCTATTATTTTGTGAATATTTATTATTTTATCAAAATCGATTATTTTGTTATTATCTCTCATTTTGTCAATATCCAGTATTTTGTCAATAATTTTTTGTCAATATCTATTATTTTGTCAATACTTATCCGTTATCTTGGCAAAGCTTATCAATTATTCTCTGTTAATAACCCTCACCCCTGCTCCATTTTTATACACCCACCAAATGCACACGTCTTTTAAAAAAAATAACTTTCTGAATGAAATTTTATTAAAAAATTCCCTTCAAAACAGTAATTTCTTGGAAAAACAATAATTTTAGAAAAGTTTAAGATAAGCCCCCCACCCTTCCTCTCCCTTTTTGATCTTTACAACCCCCATAAAATTGGGCTGACCCAACAGAAGAGCAAACCAGCGTGGGAGGGAAAAATCCCTTCTCTTCTCAAGACTCTTTGCTAATTCAATCTCTTTAAGTTAAGCGTTCTTTTCGATGCATTGTCCCTCCTTCGTCAGCCAGAGTAACTTAGGAATTTTATTTTTAAATTCCTCATCTAGCACTAGTCACATGTCACAGACTTGCCTTTGGACGCAGTCCTTCATTCATTGCCGTTTGAATCTGTTTTACATTCCTCATTTGACGTATTCGTAAATTTTTAAGAAAGTTATTTTTCCCCTTTGAAAATTGTTAAACGGAAGTTTTTTCAATCGGAAATTTGCTCGAAATGAAATTAGTTGAACGGAAATTTATTCATTTATTTTTGTATGACTTAAGGGAGAGTGCGAGTCAAACATGGGGAAAATATAAACTTTGTACACATTCCATGCAAAACTTTGTGCAACCATTGCCCCACACTTTTCTTCAACCATTATCACACATCTTTGTGCAAACATCATGCACACCTTTGTGCAACACTTAAACCGCACTTTTTTGCAAAAAACCAAGCAAGCCTTTGTACAAACATTTTCCCAAACATTCGTGCAAACACCATGCACACATTTGTACAACCATTTTCCTACACCGTTGTGCAAACCCAATACACACCTTTGTGCTACCATTACCCCACACATTTGTGCAAACACCATGCACACAATTGTACAACCATTACCCCACGCCTTTGTGCAAACACCATGCACACCTTTGTGCAACCATTGTCCTACACCTTTGTTCAACCATTGTCCTACACCTTCGTACAACCATTGTCGCACATCTTTGTGAACACATTGTCCTACACCTTTATTCAACCATTGTCCTACACCTTTGTGCACTCATTATCCTACAGCTTTTTGCATACATTATCCTACACCTTTGTGCACACATTGTCCCACACCTTTGTGCACTCATTATCCTACACCTTTGTGCACACATTGTCCCACACCTTTGTGCACACATTGTCATACACCTTTGTGCACACATTATCCTACACCTTTGTGCACATATTATCCTACACCTTTGTGCACACTTTAGCCCATACCTTTGTGCACACATTATCCCACACCTTTGTGCACACATTATCCTACACATTTGTGCACCCAATGGCCTACACCTTTGTGCACACATTGTCCCACACCTTTGTGCACACATTGTCCTACACCTTTGTGCACACATTGTCCCACACCTTTGTGCACACATTGTCCTACACCTTTGTGCACACATAGTCCTACACCTTTGTGCACACCTTATCCCACACATTTGTGCACACATTGTCCTACACCTTTATGTACCCATTGTCCTACACCTTTGTGTACACATTGTCCTACACCTTTGTGCACACATTGTCCTACACCTTTGTGCACACATTGTCCCACACCTTTGTGCAAAAACCGTGCACACGCATTAAAAATAAACCCGATCCTTCTAACATCATGAGCGTTAGTATGACCTCTAGGTAGCCACAGAAATTCCCTTGTGTGTCACCACCGTAGTAGCAACGAATTAAGTTCATATCTTCACTATGGAAAGACAGGAGAATTAATTCATTATTACTCTGGTTAAATAATTGCATTTTGATAACTTTAAAAATACAGTTTAATTTCTGACTTCGCAATAGTTCTATTGTGTGTTGTTGTTGTGCATGTGTGAGTTTGTATGTACTTGTGATTTTATATATGTATCTGTTAGTGTGTATATGTATGTGTGAGATTTTGTGTATGCGTGAGTTAGTTTTTGTTTGTGCGTTGCTGTTGTTTGTTTTTTGTTTTAAAAAGATCACTTTGACTCGGTGAGAACACACATGAGATGTCTCAATATTTACCAAGTACAGAGAAGACAACAAACACTTCAAAAAGAAACATCATGTTCTTCGGACACTTCAAAAAGAAACATCATGTTCTTCGGACACTTCAAAAATAACAAAATGACATTTTTTTATTTATAGTTTTTTTTGTATGTAGTAAAACTAAATATTAAGTACATTCTCATATGGAGAAACCCTCTTGGTCTTGTTTGACCTGTTAACTGTATGCCCGAACTCTGCCTGCGGTTGAATTGGTGACGGGTTTAAATGCAATAATGGCGTCACTGTTTGAAGGACGTGAACTCCTGGAATTCGACCTCGACCCACCGCACACGACTTGTGGCTGCGAGATGAGCATCTTTTAGTGAAGTATTCGAAACAGCCAGGTGAGCACAAGGGGTCTTCGATATCTTCATAAATATGTGACTCAAAAGAGGAGCTCGAGGCGAAACATGTCTGTAATCGATGACGGCATTTACACGTAATAATAACTAGTATCAATACGGTTAAAGTAACAGTTACTCCTACTATCAAGAGCGGATCAAAGTTTAAGACATTATTACTTACAATACTTTCATGTTTAGAAATTTCAATTTTGAAATGATTCCCTTGAACATAGCAACCCTTTCTGTGAATGCCAGAACATGAGCATCTCACCAATCCATTAACTTTGTTGAGATTCAAGATCAATTTTAAATTGCTATCAACATATTCTTTCTCCAACACAATATCAAGATCCAACTCTGCCACACACTTAACATGGAAATACAAAATATTAAAATTCGCATCTTCATTCACCCCACATGTAAACACAAAGATGGCAGATCCATCAGCATGTATTCCGTCAATAATTGTTTCGTTATTCGGAACTAATCGAGCTTCGATGGAAAGTTTTGGTAACCACTGAACTCCTAGCTCCGTTTGATTAGACACAGTTCCAAATGGCGTCTCACCAAAACACGTTATATACGTATCTTGGTGCCAGACGTCTGCTAAAAAAGAGGCGCTGATTGTCGAAGCGTTGTCTGCGCTCTTCAACTCAACGTGGACATATTGTCCTTTGTTTTTGTAATTCAGTAAAATTTTAAGCATTAAGAGGGATCCGAACTCACTAGCCTCACAGTATACAGTAAAATTGTGAGCCGAATCATGGCAAAGACTGGTCGGTATGACACCTTGCTTTTGAATAGTAACATAACCAAGACTAGGAGATCCTGTGGTTCCCGAAGTAGACGTGATTGTAGGAGCATCTGAGGTGTTGTATATCACAAACACCGGAGTTGGTCTAGCAGGTACAGAGGAGTTGTAGACGAAAGCCACGTTAGGTCGGAGAACTCCAAACAACTGATACTCTCCTGGATCAATATCTAGAATCTCGGCAAAACAAACTCCTTTCAGATAGGTCGGGTGTGTAGAGTTAATGGCTGTGAGATTGTATCGAACTATCTCAGGCTTTACTTCAACTTCCGCTGTTCTCTGGTGTGTACTCTTGTAAACCAGATTACACTCCAGCCCAGGGAAGACTTTTGGAGTCTTGCACGTGAAACGAGCAGAGCTTCGTCCAGTGATTTCCGTGAAACAAAATGGTGCTTCCGGTTTGTGAAAGACTTGCAGGCTGCAGATTGGGGGATCATTCAGTGTTCTGCCATTCTTGGTACATTGTATTTTACGATTCATGTCTTCGGTGGTCACGTGGGATAAGCTGAGCGAGCTGTGCGATTGGTTGTTTGTCACGTGCAGTTTTGACAATCTGTGTAAGGTCAAAGTTGAAACCTTATCGCATGCGTTAACTGTGATCTTTTTACCGGAAACAGACATGGTTTCCCAATTCATATTGGATCTACATGAAATTTCAGAATTTATTATAATGAGTTTTTTAAAATGAAAATTGAATGAGAATTATATATCACAAATTACCTTCTTCACAAAGGACACATGGTTTTTCAAAGCAGTGTTTCAACCAATTTATACAAAAAAATTCTAAGCTATTTCCTAAGAAAATAGTAATCATTTAAGCTCAACACTGACCTTTGGCTTTGGCATGGGCAGTCCAGCTGAATATGCTGACCGATCTCAACAGGCAGACATGGAGAAGTAGCAGAGAAACCGGAAATGACTATTAGAACGAGAGACAATCCGTACGGACAAGTGTGATCCTGGGAATATAAGATTAATTTCCTCAAATGGTGCAGTGCGTCTAAGTGCAGTGCGTCTAGAGGTCACCATTGGCTGTGGCTAATGGTCGTTTTACACGGTAACATTTTCACTTGGTGACGTTAAATATGGAATTCGTTTATCTGATCTTAACAATATGTACGAGATTTTCTCACAAACATAGGACATATTAATTATTATTTTTAAATAATGTGTATATATAGGTAAATATACGTCGGTGCAGGTGCATTTAGAACAACTTACCATGAGGCGAGCTCTATAGAAGTTTTGCATTTCATTACTTTTCGTTTTTCTGATAACTGATCGACTGAAGTGTTGACAACGTCACACGTATCTGTGAAGTGAAACGAAATAAAAGATTGAGCACTTTTTTTTTCCAGGAATTCTCCTTTCCTCGGAAACAGGACGGCGTAGCATGTTATAAATTGTCAACCATTGAATACTAATAGTTCCACAAACAGATGAGTTGTCTAAACGTTGTTAGCAAAACTATGAAAGGTTCATACGCTGGTAGGTCCATAGAACAAGGGTACTCCTAGGAAGAGAACACACAATCAGATCTTCAAATACATTTTTAATTAATCTACCTTTTTCAGAGAATGTTCAACAAGAATATACCTTGTTCAGAGACTGTTTAACAATAATATACTTTGTTCAGAGATTATTTAACAAGAATATACCTTGTTCAGAGACTGTTCTACAAGAATATACATGGTTCATAGACTGTTCAACAAAAATATGCCTTGTTCAGAGACTTTTCAACAAGAATAAAACATTTAGCGAATCGAGATCGCTCATATGAATTTTATTTGCTATAATGTTATTTTAGAGAGGCACATGAATTAGAATCACACAAATCTTCACACAGCTTTTGATTAAATAAACAGAGATATGGACTGCACACGACTTTGAATCCATCACTCGAAACATATTTTCTTTTCCACAAAATTGTATTTCCAACAGCGTGCAACCTGTCCATGCAACCTGTCCATGCAACCTGTCCATGCAACCTGTCCATGCAACCTGTCCATGCAACCTGTCCATGCAACCTGTCCATGCAACCTGTCCATGCAACCTGTCCATGCAACCTGTTCAAAATCCCTCATTTCGTATCTCATTCTATGAAAAATGTCTGCTATAAAATATTAACAGCAGAATTCTCTCTTAAAATTATTAACTAAATAAATCCATAGCAATATGATACCATTATAAAATGATACCTTAAGAGCATGATACCATAGCGATTTGAGACACTAATAAAATGATACCTTAAAAAGCATGATACCATAGCAACATGATGCCATAATCACATGATTCAACATCAAAATAATAACACAGAGCTATAAAACCAATAAAATAACACAATAATAACATAACGCTACAAAAGCACAATACCTGATCATGGCAATCCTCTAACGGCCTTGATACAATAACAACATATAATTACAACAACATATTTTTTTTCTGTTTGCCTTTGAATCAACCCATAAAACTATTTATGATTTGAATATCGGAAAGCTCCGATAGTTTGAAACTTACTCAGTTTTACTTTCACTTCTGAAAGATATTACCTGGCAAGAGTTCAAATTTGACCAAGGTAACCAAAACATTCAGTACAACCTGCTTCGGATATTCCCTGTATGATATCGGCTTTGAATTATATCTTGGTCAGCCAAGGCGTGTGGAGCTATACCTGACATTTGCGATTGAAAATAAAACAAGTACCTGACACTTGCGATTGAAAATAAAACAAGTTAATTTTTAAAATGTATTTTATCGATGAGGTATATATTGAACTTATATTTGAAATTCAATTCAAATTTGTGAGATCCGTTAATTTTGTAAATTATACGTCCTTGTTTGATAAGTGTCACGTTACGCCCTTGCTTGATAAGTGTCACGTTACACCCTTGCTTGATAAGTGTCACGTTATGCCCTTGCTTGATAAGTGTCACGTTACGCCCTTGCTTGATAAGCGTCAAGTTCTCGAAGTCAAGTTTTTCTAGAAACGTCTACGTGGGGAATGCTCCATGATAAAGATAACATAATTATTTGGCACTTAATCCATTCTTAAGCTAAAGAAATACAAATACACCGTAAAAGCCAGTAATATTATCAAAATTTTGGAGGCCACCTGCCGCATTTCAATTTTGTGACACCACCCCCCCCCCCAAACCACTCCCACCGAATTCGAAGTTGATAGGAGGGTTGCAAACCACCCGTCAATTTCAAGACAATCCATAAATAGTTTTCTTAAAATACAATTTTTCCGCATTTTCCTTAACAACGCAAGATATTGGGTAAAAATTGAAACGTTATAAAAAATGCTTTAAAGCAACACAAAAAGGTGTGCCAACGTTTGAGATCGCTTCTCCCTTGCTGAAAACGTGTATGATCCAAATAAAGATATATTTAGTGATGATTAGAGTGCTATAAAAATAACTATTCAACTACGCACAATCCTATGGGTCAGCGGGCACAGAGTCATTACCCAGTTGTGCGCATATTAGAACTTATTTCTTTAATCTTTTATATTAACTTCGCTTTTGTGTGTTTAGGGCAAAATCTTCGGGCTGCTGAGTGATCCACTTCCAGTCAACGTATCGAGCTGAAACTTGGTACCCAGACTCGTTGCCAATGATAAAATAGTCTTTCAAATTTTCAGCCCCAACCCACACTCCCAAAAATTTGTTTTTTCAGCTCTTTTCAAGACAAAGATGAAAGAAATAAGATGACAACAATTCCCCAGAATAAATTCCCGATAACTGCGTTAAAAAAACATTCTTTAAAAAAAAATTACAAGAGCGTTTGCTGCACAATATTTTGTTTAGTTTTTTTGAAATAGTTGATGAAATAAATCTGCGGTTTAAACGCAGCTGGGTGGTTATATATTAATATAAAATAAAATAATAAAGATTCATATAAAGGATTTAGACGAAAAGCTTTGTTTTAGGTCTTGTTTAATTTATTAGCCTCGTAAGTTAATTCTTTAAATTTGTCCGTATAAATGGTTGCTTGTCCGTAAACAATCTCCAGATTAGGAATATTTGACCGTCATCTTAAGCTTTTGAATTTGCAAATCTGATTGATAGTAACAATTGCTTTTTTTTCCCACTTTGGGCTCTTCTTCCTTGGCCAACTGCAGTGCATGGGTTGCAGGACATAGCGAAGGGTCTTAATATAAATTCGCTTACATCCTACAACTTGTTCCCTTAAGCCTTATAATTCGACCTGCGTACTTTCTATTCATTCTAGAACAATGTGTTATGTAAGACTGTGTTTAAAAAAAATTTCACCACCCATGAGTCCAGTTAGTCAATTTAGGAACTGCGAACAACGAGAGATTTATTGGTATCTATTTTTACTTTGTTAGCGTTATCTTTATTTATATCATACTTATAGATACATTTTCGACCTGAAAATAAATGAATTCCTTTTAAAGCCATTTTGTATAATTTCGTCGAAAAAGTTATATAGTTGGATATAATGCCGACCATCCATGTATAGAACCAAGACCCGCATGGGGCGAACCACCCGTAACCCGCCCTATCTACGCTAGACAAAGTATCTATTTTAATAAGTCGAGAGTGGAACTGGTCCACCCCAAGAGAGTTAAGGAGGGAAACATTTGTAATAGTGGCGGAATTTAATTATATATTTGACACTAGATACAGCCCGCCAAACATTGGCGAAAGCAATGCGGGAACTTCCCCTCTACTAAAGTTACTTGATATAAACGTGAACTCAAGCTACGCAAATATAAGAATGCCAATTTTGCTACACCCCTTCCCCCACCCCCTTTTTCATGATACGTCACTGCACAATTGTTATTTCACGCCCATGAACTATATAAATATATCAGACCCGCGGCTTAGCAGACGCAGCGAGCTTGTTGGGGTGTGCGCATGGCTGGAAAGCGAGGTTGTGCAGGAGGCGGGGCGGTAGCTCCACCGCAGTGCGCATTTCTCGAGAACAGCGATGGGCAGGCAAGGGAAGGGAGGGTTTGCCTGCGTCTTGCTTGCTCTGGCGTATCTATATATAGCCTGCGTCGTCCTGGTCGTCTTGTTGTTTGCCCTACTTCTTCTGGTGAATAATATATATAAATTCTATATTTTATAATATTTTAGCGTTTTTTTTAACGCAATATAATATTAATTAATTTAAAGAATTCAAATTTTAATATTTACTGGCAAATTATTGAAAATAATATAATTAAAAATATTTTAATAGCCTATACATATCGGCAGCTCGAAAATGGGTATATTTATTTTTTTTCAATTTATTAAATTGTAAACATTTATAAACTTTAAAAAAAAAATAGATTCCAATGACAGAAACATAACTGATTAGAAAATACAAAGGTCAATTTATGTTTATAGTTAATTAGTATGAAAATGTCCAATTCTAATAGATGCATTTATTTTAGAGACATTGTGCAATCCTTTACAGCAAATAAATAGCTTTTGGTAACCGTTATATATTTCTGAATGATTCAATATTTCGATTACAAATTGTGGCTCTCTACCAATTCACTTTCATTGTAAATAACAGAATAAAGGTCGCAACTTCATTGTAACTTCCATCATCTGGGATTATTGAAGCTAGGGTATCAACCATAGCTCCAACTGTATTTATTTGTACAAACATGGCTCTCGCATCATTTATTGGTACGATTATTGTTTGCACATCATTTATTGGTACAAAAATAACTCTCATATCATTTATTAGTAAAAATATGGCTCTCCGATCATTTATTGGTACAAACAAGGCTCTCATATAATTTAATGGTACCAACATCGCTCTTACATCATTTTTTGGTACAAACATGGCTCTAACATTATTTATTGGTACAAACATGGCTCTTAAATCATTCTTTGGTACAAACATGGCTCTCACATCATTTATTAGTACAAACATGGCTCTTGCATCATTTATTTGTACTTTGATAGCTCTCAGTTCTTTTATTGGTACAAACATGGCTCTCATATCATTTATTGGTACAAACATGGCTCTCACGTCATTTATTAGCAAAACATAGCTTTTACCATTTATTTGTACAAACATGGCCCTCACCATTTATTGTTACAAACGCTAAGGCCGTCAGAGATTTTAGTTTCAATCTGATTTCATGGACTGACTGCCAGAGATTCTAGTTTCACTTTGAATTCAATGTCTGAGTGCAAAAGATTTTAGTTTCTCTTTGAATTCAATGTCTGAGTGCCAAAGATTTTAGTTTCACTTTGAATTCAATGAATGAGTGCCAGAGATTTTAGTGTCATTTTCATTTCAATGTCAGTCTCATAATCAGCTTGAAGGCCAACACAATGAAAAATTTTC